CGCTTATTTGCATGTCTTGTCTGTAATAATTATAACAAATACTATACAAAACATTAGAAAATACAAGCAAAGTGCGCAAATACTGAATTCTGTACTTCTTTAGCCAAAAAAGCCAATGTGTTGAACACTCAACGGTCATTACGGTCACTTTTCTTATAAAGCTAAAATTTAAAACGCCATTTCCTTCCAACTGCAAACGAGTAGCACTAAGTGCAGCATTTCGGACACAAATTTAGATACAAAACATGAGACACAAACTTTCTATATGTACAACATTTATGGGCATGGACAAATTCAAATGTTTGATTTACATGTGCCCAACCAATTTTGGTAGTGAATCAAACACCCAAATGCACATTCAATTTGAATGTTTAAAATGCCTCTAGTGCCCAAAAATGTGGCCTAGGAAGACAGCTCACTTGGTTTTGAAAGCCTGCCATATTGTACAAATAAAGTTCTATTCTTGGCATAACACTGTCCAGGCAGAGTGCTACAGACTAAACACTGTATAGACGTTCAGTTGACATAATTCTGAATCCTGAAGTCGCTTGTCCAAACAAATCTTTCTACAGACATAAAACGGCTACAAACCAAACTCGTAAGTGAAAATTTTTGTTGGAATGCTAAAAAACAGCTAAAAATCCAAACTGCCGGGTTTCTTTAAAACACAGTTCGGTCAAACAGATTGGCAAATGCTGCCGTCTACAAAGCCTGCCTGTCTTTTAAGTGAGGCTGATTACATTTAGCAGTAATGTTTAATTCATTACCTGATTTAAGCAGTTTCTCGCTAATCTCACACTGCTTTGAGCGCAGTCGCATTGCTTAGAGCCTGTGAGGTCTGCATGTATGCATGGGAGGGCACACATCCACAGACTGTAGCATGAGATATTGAATCCCTGAGCCTGGCTAATGATCAACAAAACTAAAAGGACCATGGTCCAATTAACCAATCAATCACCATTAGGTCTTATCACTGGTGCCATCGAGCCATTTTATATGGCGCGACTTCGGAAGAGCGGACGCATATGGCGTACCTCGTGGATGAACTCTCCTATGTCTCCAGGATGGGGTGCGGCTGAGCGGATGGGATAGTTGGGCTCGGAGTGCATCGGTCGCTCGTTGTTTTTGTATACAAACAGTCAAAGTCTTTACTTAGCTAGTTGATAGCCAAAAATATTCTTTGATTTCTGATACATACATATACATTGTGCAGTTGGGCTGCTGTTTTCAAGAATTAGTTGAAAAAGAAAATGCCAATAAAAATAACCATAGTTGAAGGTTGGATATGAAAGTAGGTCAGAATATACCTGCCTTTTACAAGATGACACACGTCTGTAAGTGCTCATGGTTTATGGAGTATTACTTTGAAAATGCTAGAACACTCAACCATGTGCAAGATGTAGAAGCAGGTGGAAAAAACACAGCGTACCCCAGGCTTATGTACATTACTAATGGATTTTTTTTTAGATTTAATGTTTTAATTAAAATCTAAAAATGCCAAATGGTTCCTGTGGGAGTAAGTTCATATCATTAACTCATAAAAACCATAGAAAAGTCTCCAAACTGATAAAATACAAATCTGAGTGTTTTGTGTGTGTGTGTCAGTTGTGCAAAAACCAAAGTTTGGCTCAAATGCAAATCTGTGAGTCTCACACATACTCACACCACCAGGCAAAGCAGGAACTGTTGCATCCATTTAAATTTAGTCACTTTATAATCAGCATTACTTGTAAAACGAATGCTGAAAATTAGTCATCAAGATTTCAAACTGCACCACGCAGCTCAAATTAAAATAGTGAACTTTTAACGACTGGTTAAAATGAAACTTTTAAAAATGTTTTTATTAAACAAGCTAGATTGTCTCGAGTAATTCTGAGCTGGAATAATTGTGCATGCCCAGCAGCAGCAGCAGCAATAGAGAGGGAGTGCATGTACCTGGTCTTCCTCTCCGCCGCCCTCCTCGTCGTATTTGAGTATGTTGTCTCGCACATCGTCCTCTGGATCGATCAGCAGCTGCTTGGCCTGTCTCTCTTTATCCCGTGTCTGGCTCCAGAGTATCGGGCTGCTGCAGCTGGCTCAGATCATAGTCCTGAAGAATCACAGATAGAGGGAAGAGTCAATCACAAATAGGGTCAGAGGTCTGCTCAAAGCCCTTGGTTTCTGGAAACATCTGCATGGAGAACAAAGAACGTTTTGACCTTAGAAATGTAATTTAAGTTTGCTTTGTTCCATATGAAGGATATTCATGTGGGTTTTCTTTTCAGAAGTTAGCTAAAAACCTTCCTCGTCGAAAATGTTAGAATGTCCTATATATATATATATATGGAGTATCACTTTGAAAATGCTAAAACACTATGCGAGATGTTGAAGCAAGTGGAAAAACAGCACACCCAGGCTTAAGTACATTACTAATGGATTTTTTTTTAGATTTAATGTTTTAATTAAAATCTAAAAATGCCAAATGGTTCCTGTGGGAGTAAGTTCATATCATTAACTCATAAAAACCATAGAAAAGTCTCCAAACTGATAAAATACAAATCTGAGTGTTTTGTGTGTGTGTGTCAGTTGTGCAAAAACCAAAGTTTGGCTCAAATGCAAATCTGTGAGTCTCACACATACTCACACCACCAGGCAAAGCAGGAACTGTTGCATCCATTTAAATTTAGTCACTTTATAATCAGCATTACTTGTAAAACGAATGCTGAAAATTAGTCATCAAGATTTCAAACTGCACCACGCAGCTCAAATTAAAATAGTGAACTTTTAACGACTGGTTAAAATGAAACTTTTAAAAATGTTTTTATTAAACAAGCTAGATTGTCTCGAGTAATTCTGAGCTGGAATAATTGTGCATGCCCAGCAGCAGCAGCAGCAATAGAGAGGGAGTGCATGTACCTGGTCTTCCTCTCCGCCGCCCTCCTCGTCGTATTTGAGTATGTTGTCTCGCACATCGTCCTCTGGATCGATCAGCAGCTGCTTGGCCTGTCTCTCTTTATCCCGTCTCTTCATCCACATCACAAACATCAACACCAGCACTGCAGAGAGAGACAGAAAGTGAGAGATAGATCAATATAAAACGAGCAAAATGACTTGAGATCAGACCGTTAAAGGTGCAGTGTGGAATTTTTAGCACCACAAACCGAAATCGACGTTTCGCTAAGTTCAGCCATCCTCAGTTACTGTTGCTCGTTCAGACAAGTTATATTTTCGTGTAATTTTTCCATAAAATTAGCTCATTAGGTAGTAAAAATTGGATTCTGCTATTATTCTGTGATATTATTCACGTCAAAGTATTTCATCTGCTGTTTTTTTTTTAGGTTAATAGGTAAATTATTTAAGTAAAGTGATTTAAAACAGCAGAGACTGCGCAACTGAGTTAATCTCAAGCTATGTTTCCATCCATATTCCAAATTTAATTTAACGAAAAAAACAGGTTTTACATCCTATGTATTTGAGAGAACAAAATTGTCACTTTCACAGAAGTTTGAGCAAAACAGAAATGGAAGTTGTGGCTATTGGGAAAACTACCGTGGCTCTTTCATTAAATGTAATAAATTACTTTAGAGAGCAGAGACAAAACATTCTGAAAAATGTCGTCGCTTTTGAATGACGATAGAAGCTAACAAACTGTTTTGTAAGGTGACAGTAGCCAATCGTTTTGACGACAGGCTTTGGCTCCAGTGTTTCTTGAAGACCAGAGCCAAATTTATGAAATGATATTGGTCTGAAGTGAATTGTTCAATCACATGACTCTAGGCACATGAGGCACAATGTGTTTCCATCGTAGTTTGTTTGTCTTCTTGCTGAATAAAACATTCATCCACCCCAATAGAGCTTATACGTTTTTTTTTTTGCACATTTTAGAAATTGGATTTACCTCTTGGTGTTTCCATCCAACATTTTTTAAAATAAAATATAAAATAAAATATTAAATATTAAATAAAAATCCATGGATGGAAGCCCAGCTACAGTCAACCCGAAAAGAGAAAGGTATTGATTTTGATTCAATTGATAACACTGGTGTAAGTGAACAGAACTGTTCCTATCCTTTCTACAACAGCCTCACTATGAAATCTTTTTTGACTCCAAAAGCAGATCACATGTGCTCGGCAGAAATGTGACCAACTGATAAGAACTCCACTGCCTGGAAGAAACAGCCTCTGTCTAGTTTGTCGTACCCAGCAGAATGATGATGCAGATAAGTATGGCGATGATGGCTCCGGTGCCCAGCCCAGCTGCCATGATGCGTTCCATGTCCACGCAGTCACCGTGATGATCGCACTGGCACACTTTGATGCGCAGGTAGGTGGTGTTGGACATGGGCAGGTTACCCGAGTCCGTGATGCTGATGGGCAGCTCATATATCCCGCTTTCCAGGTAACTAATCTTCAGACTTAACTGAGCATGATCGCCTACAAATCAACCACAAAACACATGAGATAAAGTCTGGCAATAAGAATTAAGTAATTGTTAATCCCAGAGAAATCTTTTCCATGTGGCGTACCACTGATTCGAGTCAGTGTCCAGTTCCTGCGGAGGTCAGAGGGTCGGTTGGGCAGTTCGAAAGCGTAGGGCCCAGCGTTGGGGTTGAGATCTCCGTCTACGGCTGTGATATTGATGGCATTGGGTTCGGGGCGCTCGCACACTTCTGTTTCTTGAGGGAATACTTGAGGTGCGTTATCGTTTATGTCCAGCAGGTAGATCTGCAGAGTACCCGTCCCACTCGCAGGGGGAACACCTGTCGATGGACAGAAGGAAAAAGGGGAAGTCAATACAAGCATAAGCTGTGTCCCAATTCAGAGGCTGCATCCTTTGAAGGCTGCATTTGAAGACCGAATGCGTCACCAATTCCAAACCAATTTGAAGACTCCATCAAATGCAGTCTCAGAATGAGTCCTTTGTTTCCCGGGCCATGAAGGATACAACAGATGGATCCTTCACGGCCAACACTATTGCAAGATTAAATGTACGACTGGATTACATTTTTAAATGTAAGCATTGCGTTTCAACGTAATCGAATATCAAACAAAACAAATGTTACAAAAAAGAGAAAAAAAAACACTTTAAAGTGGTTTAAATGTTGACATATCTCAGTAAAATGCGATTTTATAGATTTATAAATTATGTACATAAGTGGTCCAAGGTAAACAAATTTAGACAGGCTGTCCACCCTATTTTTTCAGACAACTCATTGACGCCACACATCAGCGGCAGCTGTCACATGCTAGGTAAACACTCAGTTTTACCCTTGCGGTCTTTGAAGTCAATAAATAGTTCACAATAAATAGTTGAAAAAGTTGAATTTTAAAACTTCAAAACACTATTTTCAACATGTAGCTTAAAAAATGTATCCTACACGACAAGTTGAGGCTAGAAGGGATACAGATACTGATTTTAAGAGATTTTGGTTTGAAGGACTCTGCCACAATGTAGGCTGATTAGTTAGCTAGTTGTCTTCTTTACTGTCCGTTTAATTTATTTTTTATTTTATTTTTTCTTCCTGTCCATCCGGCGAGATTTTGCATCACTTCCGGCCATAGCTGTATCCGTTCCTACACGACGGGACGATTAATAACAAAACTTGTGCACCTGGAGTCCTGGAAACTGATTCCGTACAGCTCTTGGCGTTACTGTGTGCAATATGCATCATGACCGTGAAGGGTTTGTGGGCGTGACATCTGAGCCAAACACTAATAGTTGAAAACTGACGATACAGACGAACTACAGCAGTTAACGACTTTAGGCTCCTCTCTTCTGGGTTGCTGAGAATGCTAACTCATTTATAAACCATAATGCAAAGTCTATAAGATAAAATCAAGCTGCCCACGTCCATGAAATATCTGCGAACAAGAGCCCCAGCACAGACTGGACCATCACTACTTAGAGCTTAGTTTCTGTTTCAACAAGAGTAACAAGACCTTTCGACTTCACTGATCTTTAAACAAAGAACAAGAGACAGGCAGTGCAGTGCGGCAGGCTGACGGCTTTCTGTTCTACTCCTGGCAATCACAGCACATTTTTAATCTGTTCCAGCCCTGAAAACTCCTAACTCAAGTACGACCAAGTATCCTTAATTTATTGAATCAGGTGTGCGAATCAGCATTGAACTAGATGCGAAAAGTCTTCTTTGTGGAAAAGGGAGCCCTGCTACTTGCACACAAAGATTCAACTGAACTAAAACAGGAATTCACTAAGAATGTTAAGTTAGCATTGTGTATTTGCTCACTCTGTCTGCATTATTTTAGCACTTGATTCACAAATTTATAATAGAAATTAAGGTTACAGCACAGACACACCCAAAAAAATCAGTTCTAAAGACAATTTGCACACTGCAATTCCTTAGGCATGCGTTTCCAGTACAACATAATAATTCTAAAAATTTATTAGCTAGTCAAACTGTAGTAGCTTTGTTGCATATTCGCCGTTCAAACCATGTTGGTTCAACAATATAGAACTGTTCATACTAACGTCACAAAGGTAATGGAGTAATAACTGCTATTAAAGAATCACTTTGAGATCGAATTAATGTCAGATTATTGCTGTAAATAAACTTGGCATCTAAGTACTACTTTGATAATTATTGTTTTGCTTTATTTACAGATGTTTGAATCAATCGCAGGTTCTGTCTTACTCCTCCAGGGTACTAAAAAAATGGCACTTTCACTCAATAAACTAAAAGACGTAGAATTAAATTTGCATGAATGTGCATAAAAGATATATATTATACTGCATGTTAGCTTGCTTATTTAGCTCAAGAGCATGATCTAGTCCAGGGATCCTCAAATCTGGCCCAGGAGATCCACTTTCCTGCAGAGTTTAGCTCTAACCCTAATCAAACACACCTGAGCATGCTAATCAATGTATTCAGGATCATTGGAAAATCACAGGTAGGTGAGTTTGATCAGGGTTGGAGCTAAACTCTGCAGCGCATTGGCCCTCCAGGGCAAGATTTGAGGAACCCTGATCTAGTCTATATGTTGTACTACCAAGAAACTAATCACAGAACTACAGTATGGGTTCGGGAAACACTGAATCATTGAACTACATCGGCAACAACGGAACTTGCAACCGTAGTTGGCCAATAATTATGTGTGTTTGGTTGTGGTGGATGCAGCAGACTACTACAATATGAAATACTTTTTAGTAACTGTACAGCATCACTCCACCACTGCAATCCAGACACCTTTCAAATGTAGAAAGTGCACTCGACTGCACCACACAGCTAGATATAACACTAATCTTCATCATTTCACAAATTGCAGCTGCAATTATCACTGGTAAATGTACACAAACAATTTTTTCAATTAACAATTTTTTCTTTTTTTTTTTTTTATTACAATTTCTTAATAACATTATCCCCTGTTTTCCAGCACAATGATAATTGGCCATGAAGATAGTGTTGAGTTTGCGCAATCTAAGAGTGCTGATCTATAACAAGCCTACTTTACATATAAAGGTGTATTTGTGCTAAAAAGAACGACAATTACTTAATTTACACACAGTGCTTCCCTATTTCAGTGCATGTAGTGTCTGGATAAACTGGATTACAGGTAGGTTTTTCTGCTGAAATGCCGCATACAAAAATGGTACAACAGTTTAGTGAGTGTTTCTGGAGACAAGCTTTCAAATTTACAGCGTGTGTGTGTGAGAGGGGGTTTGTTTCACAGCTCTGCTGCAGCGAGAATGTTAAACACCACAGCAGAATAGGGCCTAGCAGACTTCTGTAGACTCTTTCACACAGCGGGTAGTGTATGTGCATATGTGTGTGCTTCAAAGAAAAAACCCAGAGAAAGTAAACGTATAGACATTCAGAATGAGTTTGCATATGTTGTTGGTGTGATCATTAACATGGATGTGTGGGCATGTGTATATCTCAGTTGCAGTTTGTTCGGGTTGCAATTCCTCCCTAGAGCTAAAATCAATGGAATCACTCAATCTCAACTGCTTCTGCATACATACGCATTCAAACACAGTTGCTCCTACCGTTATCAGCGGCCATGAATGTGGCGTTGTAGAGGTTGTTTTTGACATATGGAGATTCTCGGTCCAGGACAGCAATGGTGGAAATTCGTCCGTTGTTGGGGTCGATCTCTAGCCAGTTGGCGGGGTCAAACAATTTAGAGTACCTTTAAAACACATCATATAAAGGTGGTTAACATTTACTTCAGAACTACAGAAATATGAATCAGAAATATTATCAATTTTAACATTTTATTTTAAACAATTTTATTTGACAGCACTGCCAAATGGCACTTTTAGATTACATTTTATCAATATTTGATAAAAAAAATGTTTATCAATGTTTTTTTTTTCTAAATATTATCAACAATGATTCAATATTGATTTTAACTGAAAATCATTTGTTAAATAAAAAAATAATGAGGTAATGTGACAAAAATGTAGCAAGGTAGTGTTCAAACATTTATCATTGCATAATGCCTAATTTTTTTCATATTATTTTAAAAAATACTAGCAAGTATACAATTTATACTGTAAAATATTCAGTAAGTAGTAAGTTAGTGTTCCTTTCCGAACATAGCCATTAACAATTAATTAAATAGGCCATATTCATGACCATCCGTTTTACATGACTATTTTGCAACCTGTTCTGGCTGGACTAGCAAGAAAGCTCTGCTTTGGTCTACATAGCGCATCAAACACTTGCTATTTAAAAAAATTATTTCCAAAAATGCATACATAAGAGCTGGCCTTTAAATGCACATGCATGTGTGTGTTTTAATACCTAATAGTCTGCTGCATGTATCTGTCTGGATCATGAGCTGTAAAAGTCGCCAGCATCGACCACTGTGGAAGTCCCTCCTCCAGTTTGACCTGTTTGGGGTTGGGGTCAAAATTTGGGCTTTCGTTCACGTCGATGACACGTATGGACACGGTGGATGTAGACTGGCGGGTGCGATGGATCCCACTCGCCAGCGGCACCTCATTTTCAGCGACAACCGTCAGCATGAATGATCGATTCATCTCAAAATCAATTGGCTGTACACAAGGACACACAAACACACACACACACACAATCAAGTTAACATAGTGTCATAATCTGTTAGGAAAAATAATCAAAATGATACAATGAATGGATCGTGTTGCAATTAAATACACAGAGGAGAAATGTTTGAATAATAATTAATGAATGACTCATTCTCAATTAAGAGACATAAACCATTAACTCAGCTGAACAGCAGGTGGAAGCTGTTTCCATGGAGACCGTCTTTTGCTCTGTATCTGAACCCGTGCCTGAGGGACTCTAGCGAGATTCTAGCGAATAGCAGCGCAACCCAATTACAGCATTTATACAACAATTAGTTCCGGTTAGAGATGTTCATTTCGGTTATTTTTCCTAACCGACAACCGACGCTCGTTAACCGATTGTTAAACGTTAACCGACAAGATTATTTTAAATTAGAATTGAATTAAATTAGAAAGGATAAGTGTCTGTGAGCTGTTAAAAAATACTGACATTTGTTTCCAGTCAGTCAAACATATGAAAAAAAAAAAATTTAGTAAAAATAATATGTAGTAAAATCTGTGCCATTAAGTGTTATCACAGTACCGCCGTGATGTTATGCAAAACATTTTGTTTTACGTGGATATTGGAACGCGAGTGAAGTAGCCTACATAATAAATAATAATTTGTCGAATGAGAGACCCAACGTTGGTTTCAGTTTAGTTTTAGCCTAAATGAATTTGTTTTGGCTTGTCGTTTATATTGCTATAGCTTCTTATATTTTTAATTTTTGTTCTTTTCTAAATACTGTTAATTGAAAGGATTTGTTTACAGTGTTTATTATAATGTTTGTAAACATTCCGCGTCGGCATTAGGCCTATTTCTGAATGAAATAATAAAATGCGACTTATACGCGACTTATGTTTTCCCCCCCCCTAAAAAACATTTTTTATACGTGTAGCGTATTTTAACCATGCAGCAAACTGATTGTATTAATCGGTCAAAATTCTTACGGTCGGTTAACCGGTTAAAATGAACATCCCTAGCTCCGGTCCATGAATCTGATTGGTTGAGCAGAGTCCTGGGACTTTTCACTGTTTGTATCACTCCGCTTCTCTGTTTCTGACATTCCAGTATCTAAGCGGAGTATAGTGATTTTTTGCGTCTCCGATTTCTCTCAGGAAGAGTAAAACCCGGAGTGGAACCACTTACGTACTCTGTTCCAGACCACTTGTCAGTATGTTCATTTCTTAGTAAGTTTTGTTGTAAGTGTTACCTTGACGACGGTGACGAGGCCTTCGTTGGTAACGGGATCAGTAGGGATGGAGAAGCGTCCGGTTGGATCCCCTGATATGATCCGGTACACTGCATTCCAGGCAGGAGTCCCCGGTTCATCTTTGTCAGTCACGGTGAGATTCGTCACTATCACATTCACACGGTTCTCTGGGACCTCACCGTGGAACTACAGAGACAGGCAGAGAGAGCTCGATTTTCAGCAAAGATGGCTTTGGCGAGATGCGTGTTCAAGTGTCTGTGTGTGTGTCACTCACAGTCTCTCGGGTGAACTCTGGAGCGTTGTCATTGACATCCAGCAGGCGTATGACAGCAGTGGCGGTGTTGGACAGACCATAGGTGGGGTTTCCCTCCATGTCAGTAGCCTGAATGATCAGGGTGTACTGAGGCACCTTCTGCTCGGCACCAAAAATAAAACAAGATAAGTTAGGTTGAAAACGCAAGACATAAATGGTTTACAGCAGTGGCTGACAGGATGAGGAAACTGGGAAAAATTATGTTTGCATCTTAGTACTTAACCCTATCAAAACAGACTAGCGGCACATTGTTTTGGCACCAACTCAACATTTGATAACAGTTTTGTTATTGTTAATAACAAAAATGAAATGAAATGAACATAAAATGGTAATTAAAAGAAATCTGAAATAATATAAAACATATATTAGATGGAAAACTTACACAAAAACTAAAATTTGAAATGTTGTTTTAGCAACTAACTGACATAAAATAAGTTGAAGTTGAAGTAACACGCTTACTAAAACTAAAACAAAAATAAGATAAGATAAATAGAAATAAAAAATTACATTAATTAATAAAACAAACTAAAATTAATAACTAAAAACTGAAAATATAAAAATAAAAGGTAGTTAAAAATAAAATAAAATAATCAATAAACACTATAATACTATATAAATAATATTAAAATCAAAACCCACCAAAGATGATAACTATAACGATAAGTCCTAATAATCATTCTAATTCTATAGCAATGAAAAAGACACAGAGAAACAATATTGTTGGAATCACTCTCAGAGGCGGACAGTAGTGAAGTATTTTTACTCTGCTGTAAAAGTACTTTTCAGGTGCCTGTACTTTATCAGTGTTTTTCTTTAGAAAACTTTACTTCACAACATTCCAAAGCATAATATTGTACTTTTTACTGCACTACGTTTCATATTAAATATAATTTAATACTTAATTACATTAGAAATCTATTACTTTCTTACTTTTACTCAAGTAAAAGTAATTCAAAGATTTACTTGAGTACAAGAAAGTACTACATTTTTAATGTTCTTAAGTATTAAAGGTAAACTTTTAAGGTAACTTTTATTTATGAAATGAAGTGCAATAAAAAAAGTTTTCCAAAGAAAAACACTGATAAACTACAGATACTTTTTAATTTACTTGAGTAAAGTAAAAATACTTCACTACTGTCCGCCTCTGCTCTCAAAACAACCTTTTCTAGCTGATGAACAATTAAAAACATTGACAGCCAATCAGAATCCACCTGAGCTCAAGAAATTAAAGCAACCGACAAAGTAACTGCACCTCAGCGTTTTCGTCCATTAGTGTGAACGATATTATAGTTATCATTATAGTTATTGCTCTTGGTGTTAACATTGGTTGAGTACCTCTGGTTTACAGTATTGTTGTATTGTATATTGTTGATACTAGCACACACTTCGTCATACCTCACGATCTAGACCTGCAGCTACAGTGATGATTTTGCCAGTCTTGTTGTTGATAGTGAACATGTTGGAGGAGGGGCTCTCTGGGGTCTGGGAGAGGATCTTGTATCTGAGCATCCCATTGGCTGTATTTGGGTCATCCTTATCCTGGGAGGTCACTGTCATTACAAATGTACCTAGAGCCGAGCAAGAAATGTCACTTTCCCCTTCATTATAACCACCATTATATCCACATAAATGTGAAGACTGGTGTACCTGGTTTGGCGCCCTCATCCACGGTTCCGTTCCAGATCTGGTGAGTGAACTCGGGCCGGTTGTCGTTCATATCGATGACATTGATGATGATGTCGATGGGGTTCTCCATCTGGTTCCCATTGATGTCTACAGCATGAGCACGTAGCTGTGAATGCAAAAAAAGTCAAAAGTTTCAAAATTCCAAAGTTTACGGTCAAACATTTCAACAACAAGTCTCTTGTAGTCAACAAGGCTGCATAATTTGACCAAAATACAGTAAAAACAGTAGAATCATTCTGAAAAGCAGATTTGGTGCTCAAGAAACATTTAATATTATTAATAATGTTAAAAACAGTTGTGCTGCTTAATATTTTTGTGGAAACAATGATTTTTTTTTTTTTCAGGATTCAAACAGAAAGTTCAAAAGAGCAGCATTAGTTGAACTTTTTTTATAACATTGTAGATGTCTTTACTCTAATTCCTTGATCAATTTAATGCATCCTTGCTGAATAAAAGCTTTAATTTATTTAAAGAATGTGTGAAGTAAGTTGCTTTAAAATTCACATTGTACTTTTTGAGTCTTAGAAGTTCCACAGTATTTTTTCCAGTGTCTTTATGCCAGTACAACATTCAGAAGTTATTGCGAATAAATTGTAAAACTGTAACTGCAGAACTGACACACTGTCAGCAGAAAAGAGGCTCTTAACCACCACACTCATTTACAGCGGTTATTTGCGTTAAGCAGCTGCTGCAGCTGACTTGGTTGCAGTTTGTGTGCTAGAGCAGTCTTAGGTCTGCTGCATATATGCATGAGCTGACAGAAAGAAGCCACCTTTGGCACCATTAGGAAGCAAATCTTTTCATATTCATGTAATCTCTGCATAATTTGAATCTGAATGTGGATTAGGTGGGCACTGAGGGAGGTTAACAGCCTCTCTGGTCCAGTAGTGAAGTGAAAGGGTATTGAAACCAGGCAGGAAAAGTTTGCAACTACTTCTAGGGGAGATTGAGGATTGTTCTTACTTAGGAAAAGCCAGAATTAGGGAATGCCCCCCTGCGAGCACAATGAATGAATGTGTGTGTGTGACTTAGTGTTAGGATAAGCTCCTCCGAGTTTAATTTTGTCTGCTCTCCTCTTCATGGTACAGTGGATTAAAGGGATGGCAAAGGTCACATTCTCAGACTGGCTGCCATGGTAACCCTGACACACGTAATTTATAGAGAGTTTTAGAGAGTTTCTCTCTATCCTGGATGGAATGCATGGATATAAAGAGCAAAGGTCTGATCTTTAAACAATGTGTGCGCTCAAACCGAGCACTGGAAAGTGCTTATGCCATCTTAAGCATACATTTGTATAAAATGAACTTTAAATTGAAATTTAAATAATAAATCAACACTTTTACTGGGTGATTTGGTGACTCTAGTGGCCAAACAATGAACTGAACAATACAAAACTCTGCATTTCACCTTCAAACACCACTTTTATAATATAAATGCCACTTTTATACTTTTATCATCATGCAGGAGATAAAAATGACATTAATTTGACTTAATTACTTGAAAATGCATTAAAACATAATCTGTAAAAAGGAAAATGTAATAATGGATTATGGTTTAAAAAATTTTTTTTATACAAATTTAATAAGAAAAATATATTTTTGCCAAGTATAATACCGATATATAGTTTTACAAGTGTAATACAGACAGGCATTGCATTACATACACTAACCAATGCAACCCAAGAAACAAGAATTAGACCAATAAACAAAACAACTGACAAAACTTATTGAGGAGGGAAAATAAAGCTCTCCGAGCTAACGGGGCAATGAGTTCACACAGTATATTCAAAAGATGTATGTGTCACATCAACTCAAACCATAGCTGTTTTGTGGAACACTTCTCATGACAAACATCTGACTGATCAGACAGTTTACCTGTGATTACGTGCCAGTAAAAAAAAAAACAGCCCAAAGTAGTGCAATTACTATGTCCCAAATATAAAAATGTCATTTCCATCCCTAAAATACATATTTTACAGTCACTGTTATGCACATTTATCATAAACACAGCTCAAATGCTTCCTACTAGTGTGGCCCAAAACTCACTCAACGAACACTCTCTGACTGAGCGCATCAGAGTTTCACTGTCCGCCAAGCGATCTGTGCTGTTTTTCAGTTCAACTGAATGGATGTGCAACGCACAACGTACCGTAAACTCCAGTGTGAAGGCGCACAACTCGCCGTCGCTTTGTTTCACACACACGCAGCGAGAGAGGGAGAGAGAGAA